CACCAAAATGTGGGAGCCGAGTGCGTACGCAACGGCTGTGTGCGACACAGTGATCCGACCCCATATTCACCTTTTTGTCGTAGTCGGGAGTCAGCCCAAATACGACGAAACAAGGTTCGTACTGTCCCCGCAAGTCCTCGATTTCGTTTGACGCGAACTCGAAGAGCATAAATTCCTTCTGGTCTTCGGCGTGAGGTCCGTAGCTTGAATGGACTTTATTTCTAGCCCCGGACAGACAATGCCGCGTCGCATGCCGTGAGCTCCAGCGTCCTCGATTGTACGTCGTAGTCGACACGACAGGCGACGGTCACTTCCCGGCCGGAACCCTCTGCAAAGCCGATCGATCATCTCGTGGCTATTGCCACTACGGGAAATGCATAGCCGAGAGCAAGTTCGAAGTTATCTTACACAGGACGACTCAGGAGAAGAACAAAGGTCAGAATTTTTAGCTATCGATTCCGGGTTTGGCCGAGCCAAGGTCATGAAGGACGAATCACGCTCTAGAACAGTGTTTCTCAAGGTGGGGCGCGAGTCAACACTGAGGTTGGGCCTGGCGAAAAAATCTCGAGGAAAACTGGTCCAGACTTTCGAATTAGAAGACTATGAACTATTTCCGGCTAAGCACTCCATGACCAGTCGCTTGAGAACCTCCCGCTAAAATGATCGCATTTCTAGTTTCAGAATTCTCTGATTCTGTCCGAGTTCGCCACGGCACAGAGGACGACGTACGATATGTGAACCTATCGGAGTACCTCAGAGATCTATCTCCCTTGAACTCCACGAAGACATCGCCATCCGGAGGATAATTACCCCCAACAGCTCCCATATTACAAATACACAAGTTGCCCAGAGGCTTTGAGCTTTGTTTCATTTCATTTCCATTTTTTCATTCCATTTCATTTGGTCGAGCCATCTCCGAGAGCTTCTCCGAGATATACGACTCTGTCATTCCTCTCAAGACGATTCGCTCGCGTTTCTGGGGGTCTGGATTCCGATGAATGCTGACTCGCCGTCCATAATAGTCATACAGGGCTTCCTCGATAAAAACGAGTGAACATCATTTATTTTATCATCATCATCATTCTACAAAACAAGAGCAACGATTCTTCCTTGCCTCTGGTCTCCAAGGAGCTTCTTCTCGACTCGGGAGACTTAACTGTGCAGTCGAATCTTAAGTTTTGCGATTCGTCTCGCGGGCCTGTGTTCGATGGACCCACCCCCGAGTCCGTCATTGTTTTCGTATTTTCAATAATCGGAGCGTCTGTAGGGCCCGGTGTAGGCATGCAGGTGTCTGCGTAAGAGAACCGGGTTCACTTGAGGGCTCAGATAAAGCCACCAGGCCGCTCCCTCTGGTCGGCCGCCACATTCATAGACGCTCGGGATGGGGCTTGGTTTTGCTGCTGTACCGCCTGGTTCACTTCTTCGAACGACAACCGAATCGAGCTCGCGGGAGAGTATGACCACTCCGGGATAGGTTGCATTAGGTTCTTCCTGTGACCCGGCGGGTAAGGACCAGGGGGAGGAGGTGGGGACTCTTCGGCACGATCCACGAGCTCGTCTTCCCCCGAATACATGGCGCCTCCGGGAAAAGTTCTCTGTACAGATGTGATCGTCGGTTCCGGGGTCGGGAATGGGGGGTCCTCGCATGTGGCCAGAGGTTTCTTGAGAATCAGGAAAGTCACGCAGCCTGGGAACAAAGAGAATCTCAATCCAGAATCTTAATCCAGAGAGCAGCTCAATTCAGCATTCACGCAGGTAGGCCACGGAGTACGAGCTGACATGACTTTCTGTTCGCGGAATTTATCCGAGAGGCAATCCACTCTCGTGAGAGAACTCACCCACGATGGTGGCGATCAGTGAAACGAGGCCTATCACCATGCCGGCGACCTCGCCGGCCTTGAGTCTCTCGTGTTCATCCTGTTGTCCTGAGTTCTCCTGGTGGGTCCTTATGGTGAGTTCGACTTCGGATGCACTTCTCTGCTGTTCTTCGCTCCGATCTTGTTCTTGACGGTGGTGCTGGTGGTGATGGCTGTGATGTTGTCGACGATCGTCACGGTTGGCCTGCGGATTCGGCACAATCGGATGAAGAAGCTCACAGGGCGATTCCTTACTCCACACCAAATTTATTCAATCTGATTAGTACCACGGCACGCGTGCTTGTGTTCGTACCGATGAGTCTAGTCTGGCTACTTCCTTATCTCATTGAATTGGCGCTCCACAAAGGGGATGAATTTCATTTTTTTTTCTCGAATTCCCCGAATAAATGAATTTTTACCTGAGTCACTATGGGCGGCCGCTTCCGCACCGGTCCAATGAATGTGGATTCGGTGTTGAAAGGAGAACTCTCAAACTGTTGCGGTTGCCTACTGGGATTCACATTAGTGAAGAACGTCGATGTCTCCGAAGTCGAGAGAGTGTTCGCTGACTCTGATTCGGGACTGGGGCTTATCGGTGCGGTGGATGACCTCGGAGTCGGAGCAGAAGTCGGTTGAACTATATTTGGCCGTGCTGTGTTCACGACCGCGGGCGTCGTGGCTAGAGAACGATTGTGGCGATTATCGAGATATTCTTGCAGCTTCGCAGATTTCCAAATTGCTGGGAGGCGCTCGATCGCCGAACCCATGAGTTTGATGACCGAAAAAAAACATGGAGACTCGAGGGAGTCGGGGAGCCCGCAATCTGGGGAAAATTCCCATATTTCGTCTTGCATAAGAATCCGACGCTTCCGAATATATTTGCGCAGCCATGCTATTGCGTGACAGGCCCTTCTCTTAGAATATGTAAGACGTTAATGAGAGGAATCGCTCGAACAAATAAATCCGGAGCGTTTCGCATCCGTCCCGATCCCCACGGGAGCGACCGACGCGAGTCGACTCCGAGCAATAAGCTCCAGATCCAATCAGCGATCCCTTCATCGAAATCTCAAAGGAGATAATTCGGAGCCACCTCGTTGCATCCCAGGACCACGATCCCGTCTTTTAGAGAACTTGAAAAATGTGAGCCGAGGCGAGTCGTCGCCCATCGAGGAAAACAATGGGGTGGGGGAGTGTGAGCCGAGCTTCGGAAATAGAATTCGTCGGAAAACGACAGTTATCGAAGATGACAAGTCATATTCACGCCGGCGGGCGGCCGTTGACTTTGGAAAGGCTCATAGAACCAGGTCAGTGGTCGGTGGCTCGGTAGCGTCAAGCTGTGAGCAAGGAGTCGGGGCTGACGAGATCAACAGTCCGTGACGAGAAATGTCGTCTTAATGCATCCGTCTGGCCGACGACGGCAGGCAAGACTGCTGGAATCGCTTTTACTTTTCGTGGCGAGCTTCAACACCGTCACAGCGAATTCACAGAAGGACTCCCCCATCTATGTATAGCCGGAGAATCGGTGAAATCACAGCGTCCGAATATGAACGTTTCGACAGAGAGCTCAACGGATTGAGGAAGGGAGTAGAATCCCCTTTTTGTTCGCCTAGAGTTCCCAAAAAAAGAGCCTTAAATGACACTGTCATTACGTGCGGTGAAAGGCGAATGGGGCTCTCGACGCAGTTCACAGAGCAAGTTTCCCGTAAAAGCTGCTTTCATTGTTCATGAGCGTGTCACTGACGTTCACGATAATGGTAATTGAAAGTGTCCGTCTCGTTCTTATCTGATTTCTCACGACAGCGTTTTCCCTCCGAAGAGCGCAAAACGTCCCGCGAATTCGGTACAGCTCCCATAGAAAATTTTCATTAAGGCGAGAGCTCACGGCTTCTCTCAAATGACACGATCGTGATTTATTTCCACTCACCGGTCTCCGTCGTCTCGACCGGTTGTAGAGGTGTCGTCGGAGAGGGCGGGGTCGAAACTTCTTCATCTTCATCAGCTGATTGGACCATGAGCTCGTGTTGTCTACGCAGCCACGTGTGGTAGTCCATCGCCGTTGACGGCGGTGAACTCGGAGGGTATGTCGACGGTGGCTCCCGGTACGGGTGCGCGGGTGTAGACGGATACGCGGCAGGTCGGGGGAGATGCGGGGGAGGTGGCGGTGGCGGCGGCGGCGGATAAACGTTCGGGGGATGATTCGTAACATGAGTCGGAATGTGAGTGGGGAAATGATGCGGGAAGGGGTGAGGAGCAGGTCGATAGCCCAGTCCGAGGAGCTTCTGAGCCTGTTCTGTTGTAGTACCTTCGGTGACATCTGCACGTGCACCAAGTCGTTGTAGGGATATCTACCGGAATATCAGCCTGGGACGCCCAAGTCATGATCTGAAACGTACCTTCGTAGCTAGTCAAGCCCTCCGTCACGGGCGGGTCAGTGGTGGTCGGAGGTTCCTCGATCGACTGCTCTTCCTCTTTCTCATCGGGTTCTGGAGCGCCATTCGTTCGTTGCACATGATACCTGAGATTCAAACGTCAGAATTTTTTTTAGATAATCTTCCATGCCCACGCTTAGCATACGCCCAACGTTCATTCCGTCTCGGGGGCCTTCGAACGGTAGAAAGTCTTTTTTCACAAGTCTTTTTCCAAGAAAGCCTGTGAAAGTTTTAGTACGGAGTTCGTGTGACACGCGATCAGACCCGGATTTTTCGGAATCGATCGGTATCAGTTCCCGCGAAACGTATCTACGCGAAAAACAAAGCGAGGATCTCACCATCTGGGGTAGTTGTAGCCGTAAGGCGGAACACGTATTGGTTTCCAATAGCCCGGAAGACCAACGTATGACTTCGCTTCCGACGTTTCTTCAGACGTCGACTCTCGAGGGCCGTCCGTTGTCGTCCCTTCCGCCTGGCGGTGCTGAACTTGCTGTTAGATCGGGGGAGGATTTGAGACACTGAATCAGAAATGATCTCGCGAAAGCGTAATTCCCCAAAATCAGAGCCCCGAGGCTGTTTGGAATAATCGGGAAGCCCCAAATCAGATGAGCCTGAAGCTCATTGGAATATCCGACAGTGGCTGGCTCAGGTTTATCTGATTCTCCAGGAAACTGCTCGTACCGTTGGCTGTCTGTAGTTGCCGTCGTTGGTTGAATATCTGAACGGCGTCATGTGTTCTTCCCTTTGCAGAGGTATTATCGGAGGCTTCCGCGGTCGGATGAGTTTGCGCCGCTGAACAATCGGGACGAACTGTGCTTCTGTAGAGTTGTGTTCTGCATCATTTCGACTAAATTAATCAATCGCGGAATTTTCGAAGCGTCGGATAATCGCTCCTCTCAATGTTATTTCGCTCTTCTTGCGTTGCTGAGACGGTCGGAGACGAAACTTCAAGAAGAAAATAATTTCTACAATCCCATTGGAGATTGACACGTACCGCCATAATCGGCTTGAGAATCGCCATTGTGACTATCCGCCTCAACTGCTATAGGTCTACGGTTTCGACTGCCCCTGATACCGGGATAGTGGAACCTGAATCATAAAATTAGAACAAGCGTTGGAGTCACTCTCAGACGACTGTAGGAGTCCTTTTTCCTCCTCGCCTTCTTTCGCCTATTTCCAAGCCTTCCCCAAGCGAGAGCTTCCCTACGACCCCTAATACAGGCGAAGATGAATGAGGCGGGAAATATAATCGGAGGTATGACATTGCTCGCGATAATCGTGATAATTTCGTATTTTCACAAACCGGCTGAGCGGGTCCATGGTGGTCTGCTCCAGAGACCATGATTGCGGACGAATACCGAACGGTCCCCGCCGTCTTGTGAAGCCTCTGCGATAATCATGATTCCACCTGCAGTCCCAAGCATGATTGAATGATTGTATCCCGTATATTGGTCTCTCCAGCCGTCCGCTGATGTGATTGACATAGAGAAGAAGGAGTGCTCTTTTTCGAACCTTTCCCTGTAGTCCGGATCTCTGAACTGAGCAGCGGGGTAAACACTCTGTGAGTGCACTAGATGAAACAGCACACAGATCGTGGAGACTAGAAGCGTCTTAGAACCTGGAGTTGATTCAATTGTAGATATTAGAGGCTGGGAAGGATATACACTGTACTCTGTCCTATGGTCCAACAATCCACATGAGAATTCTTTGAGGATAAAGGAGCTTGTGTATTGCGTCCTCAAAGCCTGCCGAGACATATGAAAGTGAGGGATTATTGATAAATTGTTCTCCCTGTCAACTAGCAGCGTTGGCGTAGATCTTTTACAGAATGGGGGGAGAGTGTGTGAAGGGGTATGAATGATGACGCGCCTTTTCGAGGTCTTCAGCATTCCGGGAAGGGGGGGAATCTTAGAGGGGTTCTCGGCCCTCCAGCTCCTCTAAGCAATCACAGTGCTGCGGGGCCTCTTATGAAGAAGAATCGAGGAATTCCGATCCGGGCCCGTTGCTTCCAAACAAGGCGGTAAGGATCGATGAAGGGCCCAAAAGTTGTGCTCATGTAATACTCATAGAATAAGAATGGTCGAGCGGAGACGTCGAGCAAGACCCGAGATTAGAATAATCAAGATATCAAAGGAGTGACAAACTATTTGACATAAGTGCATGGCAGAAGTTATGCACGTATGCGTTCTTCTCTAGATACTTGATGGCTTCCATTGTCCGTTCATGTTCGTGAAGCCTTCTTAAACTGGAAACTAGGATGCGGGAGCAGCGGCAACTTAACGAGTGATCTCAAAGAGAACTTCAGATGATGGCCAATTACCGAGATTAGATTTCCAAGGGGTTCAAGAGAATTCTAGGTGAACTGGAGATGCAGGTCACCCTCAGTTCATTTTCCGTCCGCTCACCCCTCATTTCGTGTGTTGCATCTTGCTTAGTGAAAGTGTGTGAGATAAAAGAATGATGAATAAGATGCGCCCAACAATGTTAAAGACGGTGTATTGTTCGTAGGATCCAAACAAACTAGCTGTGCACCGCTGGCCCCATCCTGCTCAACGGAGCTGCTTGTTTCACCGTCCGCTCGGATCATATCCGCCTCTGTCCTAACGAATACTTGAGCAAGCAATACTTGTCGTCATGCAGACCATCAAATTCGCGTCGATGTCGACTCCCATGGTCTATGATTTTACTCTGGAGAACGAGCATAACTTTCCGGAGCAGAGGGTTTAGGCTCCGAGAGACCAGAATTGGGTCCCACAATTGGGACTGTTTCAGCTTCGGAGCTGATAGAACCTTCGAGAAACGACAGAAATCGGCTCTTATCACAAGAGTTCCAAGCCAGGGCAGCGTTTTGGGTTCAAAAATACCAAGCGAGAGGCGTGAAAGCATGCTGGAGACGGACGGATTTTCCCGATCTCCACAAGAGCTGAATGGAGCTCGGATCCCCGAACGGCAGATCTTTCACGACTGAGGCGTCAGGCTCACATGAGCTCCAAAGCTCCTTATTCTATGCGGCAGACGGAGATTCATCCCGGGAAATTCGAACGAGAAACGATACCGGACCCCCCCACGGGAAGCTGAAATTATTTTCGAGCTTCTCCCCTGCCCCAATCCATACGTCGCTGACGGGTATGGCCGCGTCAGCCTTTTCTACTCACCGGCGATATAAGTCATTTCTAGACTCAGAAATCGAACAATATTGGCATCTCGATATCACATGCTGGTCCGGAGATTTTTCACTTTTGCACGGGGTAGCGATCAAGATTCCGAGTCGTTGAACTAGCCTGAGAGTTTAATCCGAGTTCGAAAATTCACTGGAAGCAGAATGCATCCAAAGTCCACATGTAACTTCAGTGCATATCCGAGGGAGGTGATGGAACGGGACCGCGGTCCGAAAACCTGAGCGTCGTCTTTGAATCTGAAGTCGCTGTCGAACACTGCGACGGTGCGCGAGTGAGGAGCATCCGAACCGGGAGTGGCGTTGTCCGCTTGGCTTCAGCTTCATTGTGTTGCTCCATGGTGTTTCAATGGACGGAGAAGAAGACGAAGACGAAGGATTCCGTTGCTCACAGCGCCGCGATTACTCCTCGGAGTCCTGCCGACTTTTCCCGACTCTTGAGAATTCTGCAGCGAAGGATCTCCAGAGCATGATCAGCTCGAGTCTGCGACTTCCCCGAGAGTATACGAGGGGGAGCCTCGACGTTCATGATGCTGAATGGTTCTGCGACAAAACCAACGCTCGCTGAGCGGAGAACGGAGTTCTTGTCTATCTTCTAACGGGGTCTGACGTAAATTAACGATTCTATCGTAATGATCCTAATGTGACACTCGAATGCTCGAAGAAATGTTCATGAAGTCCTTTCGTAGCTGAATCCCGCTGAGTGACGGCTCTAGTTCCGAGTCGAACAATCGAAAAATCGCAACCATTCGAATTTCGTCGCAGCATATTAGAATCACCTGAAAATCGAATACGGACCTTGCGAAAACCCATGGACACACGAGAAGGGACTGACTCGTCAATGATGTGTCATGCCTCAATGTGACAGGATACGATTGTTCTCCCGCGGAGTCGCTCGTTGGGCTTGCGGCATGTTCGTGAGTCAGAGGAAAAATAATAAATCATTACATTTATGACCCCATTGAGGAGTTCAAAGCCTTGAGAATGAGGAGTCTCATCTGCACTTGAAGTCGAAGACTACGCTCATCAAGCCACATACGCTGAAGCTACTCGCGGTGACAAGAACCCATTGCGATATCTTCAGCGACTGCTTGAAATATCATCGGGAAATTCTTACAGGGACGTCATGACACTCGTCACCACTCTAGTCGCACGCATCGATGACAACGGATGGGCACTCAAGTTCTGATCGATCCGAGACCCTCAAAAAAATTAAATCGAGTCGTCGTAATAGAATTGGCGATCGACTGAAGTAACGCAACCCGGTCACACGATGTGAGAATATGTACATACTCAGATTACCGGTTGAGATCGTTCAAAGAGCAAAAATAGCGAATCATGGGTGTCCCCCGCTCTGCGGGCTGTGTCTGTTGACTATCTATTCGATCCCCTCGGAATGGTTCTCGTGAACGAAGCGAAAGCTTGATCGAGACGTCGCGATATTTCATCGAGACGGCATCGAGAATATCAGCGAAAATGAGCAGCGCAACGATCCCCGACGTAAATCCACATCCACCTACAGCGACAACAACGGTGGCATCGACTTAGGTAGCGAAGCAGTGACATCCGGTCGCATCTTGGACGGTTGGTTGGCTCACTGACTTTCGGATGGTTTTGCGGTCCGTCTGTCCGCCGGTCTGGGGGAAAACATCCGCTTCCAATAGCACCTAAATTTAAATGGAGATCAATTCTTTATTGTTGGCGGAAAGCTCGGGGCGTAAATCTCGTCGCTCCGGTGGTTCCGTCTTCTATGACGATGCCGCCACCGCTGGCGACGTCGACGAACGCATCGGCAACAACGGCGGCAAGGCGAGGCAAAGCAGAGGCAAACGTAGCAACGAACTAAGGTGAGCAGAGTTAAGCTGAGCTTGACCGGACCTCGCAGTCGTCCCACCCACCCTAGCATGATGTAACAACGGCTTCCTGTCCGACCGGTGTCTGTCGCGGTCATCACCAGGCAAACCTAAGATGGTGACATGTCTTTTGGCAATCGGTGACAAATGTCTGAACAAGCTACAAGCTGTAACGGACTTTTCGCTCTGTAACATTACGCTTGCTCGATTCTTCGGCATGAGGGCGGTTGTTCCGTGATGAGGTCACCGACGTTGGAGGAATTGAGTTTTCTTTCCCGAGAAATATTTCTGTTTAGGTCCTTTGCTAGACCGTCCTGAACTAGAAGATTAGAAGGACATCGAAGCTCCGTTCTCGTAATCTCTGCTTCGGATTGAATCTTCCCCCGTGGAGACTGATTGCCAGCGTGAGCTTCGGTCAGGCGGAGATTTCCCCCGAGCCGGGGGCAGATATCCGGATGAGACTTGAAAAGAGTGACGTCGTGAATTGAACTTGGTGGAGACTCGCCCGCAGTATTCCATTGATGATTTCGCGAATATGTGCAGTCTGTAAACAGAATAGCTCTGGGAAGATATCTTGTCGCGAATCGTTTCCTCAGGCGGACCCGTGCAGACTGAATCCGGAGCGGATATCGACGTCTCACAGTGAAATCCACGAACTTCCGATCATCCAGCGCTCATTTGCTAAAAGTTCACGAGGACTTCCACCATCAAGCCGCGTTTGCGATGAGAGTGCTGGTATCGCCATAGAAGTTCCGGTTCAACCCTTGCACGCGCCGGGTTCTGGGATCCTCCCGATTTTTTTTTGTGACTTCATTCCTGACAAGTGCGCCGCGTATGCCTCCGACTTGGCATTTGGCAGGGACCAGCGGAAGACAAGCTCAGTCATGAGGATATATGCGTGAATAACTTGTTTCTTAGAGTTTTTATGCTACGTTTTCCGGCGCTACCATGCGGGCTGACTCAGGACAGCTCCGAGGAGGATGCAGGTACCCTGATCGGACCTGTCTTCGATCAACATTGGTTCGACTGGGAATCGTCGATGTCTCTCTCTCGAACGTTGACTTGGTCTCCGGTCATCGATCAGAACTCCTTTCACATTAGTGAATTATTGCTTCCGAAGGGGTCTCCGGCGAACCAGCTGGATTAGCCCGTAGCGTCCGGAGGTAGCAACCTCGCGTGAGAGCGCTCTTGGACGATACGGCGTGAGTTTTCCATGAGAGTCGGCGATGATCGAGGATCTCGCAGTCTCAAACCGAGTGGGGCATAGGGGATGGTCCTGGGGGAAAAAGCTCCGTGGGAAGATGAGCATATCGGCTCGCTTGCTTTCCACGACGAAAGCGATGCTCCAGCGTGCGATGAGCGATAAGGCTGGATAATGGGCGTTACCACTTTCCTAAACTGATGGATGATTCGACTCTACTCTGCTTCCGCACCAGAGGCGAAATCTGAGGGAGAATCACAACACGATTCTTCTGGGAACTGCTCGGTGGAAGGAGAGCTAGGTGCCGATAGTAACCATTGAGCCGTCTGATGCGGAGATAACCTCACAAACGGCGGTATCTCTCCCCTCGAAAGACGCCATATTTTGTCCTGCTTTCCGGATTTAAAAGGAAACTTTCCAACATTCTCGACTTCGAGGTACCCAGCGAGATTTTCGCCTCCGAGTCATGGATCAGAGAATGGTTTTCCGACAACTTAAGTTTATTAGGTATTCTTGTCCAAACGAGCGACACAGTATAACAAAACCTTCCCATGATCAGTCGAAGTAAACTATCCCGGTACAAAAAGGGCAGAATCTTTCCCGCGGTCATACACAGCTTAAATAATATCACAAAGCACATCATTCCACCTTGGGGATCTCAGTCAGAACGGAGAATATCGCTCTCCGACTTGGAGCACAAGATCCGTTCGATTTCGATCTACGTAGTTCCCATATCAAAATTTGGATTCCCCTCGAATATTCCTTACATTTCTCTAAAAGAATGCGTAGCCCTAGTTGTCAAATGTGTCTAAACCGAGTATCAAAAATAGGCTATTCAGTCTCCTATTCGCAGGGCTTCCCTGGCCGAAAGAGTATTCGTTGTCTGAACGAGCTACCAGACAGAGCCTTCCAGCATCGTGAAGAGCTCGACAATTCGAAGAGAACTCAACAGAATCTATACTATCGACTTTCACAGAGAATATCGGATGAAATTCTTTGGAGTGATGATCCTTATGGAAGTCTTTCGACCCATCACTCCAAGCAGACGCGGATCTGGGGGCTGCCGATTTTACGCGTGGCTCCCGATGATACAATGGAAAAGCGGAGGCCTCGCCGGGGCTTTCTTCTGGCCATCGGGAAAGTTTTTCGAGGGTTCGAGTGAGCTATCCATTGATTCTCGGGGGAGGATTTGATCCTCTTGTGAACTGAGTCCACTAAGAGCTCTGAGAAGAAGACAATGGTGGCAAATGAAGCACCGAGGAATATGAGAGTGAAGAACGGTGTGACGATTCTGAGCTTTAGCGCGAATATGTCACTGCTGGTGGCGTCTTCTTTGTAAGAAGGTCCTGTAACTTGTCTCCTCCCATCTGGATGTGTTGACTTTGGAGTCGACGTGTTCTGTATGTGATCACGCTGTATTGCGTTCAACCACGGCATGATAATGTTGTTGTCGAAGAGAAGTCGCATCTGCCACTGAGTGCTCCGGCACGCGTATATGAGGTTCTGCGCCCCCCGTTGGAGGCATTGGAAGGAATACATTTCCATATAGGGTGGATCAAGAGGGACGGTGTACACCGTTTTCCAGAGTCCCCACTGAGACAGGAGAAAGTTTATGGATCTCGAGCCTTCGACCCAGAAATCCCCGTTGCGTAGTTCGAAGAGAAAAGTCGAGATGTTCGGGCGCACACGACCGACGAGCTTGTCTTCAAACTTCCAGTCTAGATTGGCCGAAGTCTTTTTGGCTTCTCGAGGCGGCGTTTGTAGCAACGACGCCAGGGTACTGCGGTACCCTGTCAAAGGAATCATGCACAGCAGTGTCCAGAACACGGAGGTGATGGCGGCGCTACCGTATAGGAATTTCTTCGCTGATGGCAACTTGACACTCGTGAACATTTGGCAGAAAGTGAATATAACATTGTCTGCCAAGAACACTGCCCTGCCCATTTTCATCGGTTTAGGCAGCGACCAAGTCATGATGATGGCAACGGCGACCGAGAACGAGAATATGACGACCCAAATGGCCGGTTCGAAGGGCATCAGGAGAATATAGTTGCTGTTGATCACTTTCGGATTCAATAATATGGCTACGTGGTCGTCGAGGAGCAACGGGACGAATGTCGGGAAGTGACTCTTGACGGTACTGCGAGCCACGCCTTCTTCAGCAGAATAGACGATCTCACCCGGTTGGCTATAGTTTGTGGGATACTTCGGTACAACGTCGACTCGGAGAGTTTCCTTCTTGAAGGTCATCCGCATGCGCATGCGGCCGTCGTGTAGATGTTTCTGATAGAACAGCATGTCGAACAGCTGCACCTTCCCGCATTGCACGTCTTCCCTACGGATGTCTATGCGGGTCCACGGCTTCCGCGAACCGATGAAATCGGAGTCTACGCGGAGCTCGAACATCCTCGACGCTGGAACGTAACGCAAGTAGCTGAAGGGTCCGGCTACTACCTCACTACTACTGAAGTTCAAGCGATGCGCGCTATAGGTGAGATCCAAGACACTGAAGTAACGAGGTCCGTACAGGCGAATGTATTTCACGTACAGGTATTCCCAGATCGAGATGAATTTCGCATCGAGCGCACAGAAGACTATCAACGCCCGGTCGGGAAAGTGCCCGGCTTCGTACGACTCGAATGAAGCTACGGTGTAGGCTCCTCGATTCGGCTGTTTCGTGATATTACACATGTACGGCACCACGGTGACTCCCAGTGCTCCCGAACGGGGGAGAATGTCACTAATAATGTCCAAGAAAGACTCCTCGGCCGTAGAGGCGACACATCGAACTCGATCACAAATTGTAACGAACGAGAAAAGAAGTGAAAAGAAAGAGCAGAGTGGAAGCATCGTCCACTACATTTGATATCTGTTGGCGGCTCTGCGTCAAAGGCTCTCAACGCAAGTGGTTGGTCCCTGAACTCGAGCTCTGTGTCGGCCTGGCCAGAGAAATCGAAATACTACAACGTATCGATTTACAATTCACCTCCGAAGATCCGTGAGTGGGAGGCTAGTGGGAGCCCTGTAGGACGTGCGTTGTGAATGGATACCTTGAGAATAGATTGCTGTAGTTTGTGAGAACACCCGCGGAACATGAATGGCCTGAGAAATAGATCCCGTCGACCGACGGAGTCTCACTCTAAAGACCTGCTACACATACCACTCGCCAAGCGATGTTTCACGCTGGGATCTCGAGCTGAATGGGGGTTAGATACTTCGCAAGAGCTCCAGTGGGCTTCAGTTTGAGTGTGTCTCGACAAACAGAGATTGAGCTGAGCCAGCCTTCTCAAATGGAGTCGTTTCCCCCGAAACCTCGGGCTGACAGAACATCCAGAGTCCGATGTTGATGCTCCCAGTCCTAGATGATACCCGAACCGACCTGCCGGGAGAAATTGCTGAGGAAAGTATCGAGATTCGTCTGCCCCAGAATCGTGGGAAATATTCCAGTCAAGACTCGTTCGCGGGACCTCGGCTCGATGAGAGTCTTCGGAAGAGGCATGCGAGCTTCTGCAATGTGATAGCGTGACATAAGCCGCTTTCAGAACTCCCCTTTCGTATTCGACTCAGACGGATTGACAGCAGTGGATTCCTTGTGGTATCATGGTCACTCGTTCGCTAGGCATGACGATAGAGCATCCTGAATTGCGCCCCCATTCGGCGGAGGAGTTGAGCTGCTCCGAGGTGCTACGGGGCTATTAGAGATGCGAACGGGTGAGCCGAGTACTCTTCTCGAGTGCGTTCTCCCGCATACAATATACCATCCATATTTGCACAAAGAATCAGCTCAATTCACTCGTCGGAATGGGGGATTTATTTAATTTTTCAGCGTGAACTCTCTAATCTCAAGTAAGACAGAGGTGTCCCCTTATCTGAGATCGTCACTCCGGAACGTCTTGCGCCGTTGCCGTTCGTTTAGTCTAACGCGCAGCCCGCAGAGGGAGCGGGTCACAAGCTCAACACTGAGGAATAATTCATCGCGTTCTTGAAGGGATCTGATTGAGAAATTGCGGAGAACGTGACCTATGATGATTTTTTCTTCGAGGATGGCGAATCGCTGTCCTGCGAGACGAATACCAATTTCAGAACATCGGAGTCGTTGCCACCTCTGGGGCAAGCGTTCTTGACCAACGATATCATGAAACAAAGTAGCACTGGAAATTCACCGATGCAATTCCGCGGCCCGGCAGAGAAGGGAATGAAGCAGAACGGATTTTTCGCCATCAGATGTTTTCCTTCTGGCAGGAAGCGCTCAGGAATGAACTCCAAGGGGTATTCAAAGTACTTCGGATTCCGATGCAGTTCAGAAATAGCCACGATACAGGTTGAGCCCGCAGGTATCGTCACCCCATTAGCTGGAAGTCCGGGGAGGGTTAGCATTTCCTACCATCAGCGGCATAGTTCCCAGGGCGTGAATGGAAATTATTCAACGTACGCATCGTGAGATCCTTCCGAAGATTACGGCCAACATTCGGTACCGATGGATACAAACGTTGAGATTCCTTCCGGGAATCGCAACAGAAATAAAAATCAAGTTTCGCGAATATGTCTCCTCGACCCGGAAATTTACACGTGGCAGTGTATCCCACTACTCATGACGAGTGAGCGATGACTTGATGAATCAACTGACCTTAATTACAGCTTCTAAGTACTTGAGCCGCGGTAGGTGTTCCGTGGTGATGTGCGAGGCGTCTCCAACGACTTCATCAAGTTCCCTTTGCGCGCGCTCCTGCTTGTCCGGGCTCAGTCCCAGAAGATAGAGGCAGAATGAGATTCCTGGGGATTCAGAGTGAATCAATTTGCAACGCTCAAAAAACCATGTCGTGTGCCAATTATTGCAATTATTGATCTAACAGATCCCCGCTCGTACCAGCTGCGGTTGTGTCGTGTCCTTCGAACATGAAGGTGTCCACCTCTTCCGCGATATCCTCAAGCGATAGGCTCCCCTCTTCGACGTGTATATCCATGAGGAGATCCAGAAAGGCGACTCGCTTCTTTATACCGAGATCATCTGTCGTTGTTCCATTCATTTGGGCTAAGCGCTTCTGCTTCCGTTCTCGTATTATCTGCGGGAATGAAGGTGGCTCATTAATACGGACGTCGTGAGCAGGCATTGTCGTCGTAGTGCCTTGATTGGGTCAAGAACTGGAGTCGCTAAGTCGCTATTCGCCCATTCTGAACATTACCCCGGACAAACCTTCCGCGTGAAGCCATGCAGGATGACGAGAGATTTCTGGAATTTTCGGCCCTCTTTCGACATCTTGAACACGAAGTCGGCTTTCAACCAAGGACGGGCGAGTCTCACGTACATGGAGTTACCGAGATCGTAAATAGCCTGAACGTAGTCCGAGTTGAAACCTTGCTGAGCCTGGACGCTTATCCCCATCGCCGTCTCTGCAATTTCCTATTCAGTTTATCGTCAGAGCCTCAATGCGATTGAAACCGGCGGAGCTTGCGGACGATTGACCGTCCTTGAATGGATTTGGAAGAGAAATATCAAAATATCCTCGGTGAGGTAATGTCCTCGTTCTCATGTGGCCGAAGCTTTGTGAAGAATTGCCAGACTTGCATGAGACCTGAATGAAGTTTACCGCATATCACGTCAAGCGTGCACAAAGTGACGTCGTTGACCAAGTCGAAGTCTTCCTCTGCATGGCCTCTTAATCTTCCAACCAAAATCAAACTCTGTTGATTGACCGAAGGAACGAACTCGTCCAGAATTGAGAAATGAAACGCAGGAGTCAACAACTTTCGCCGTGAGCGCCATTTTGCGCTTGAGCTGGAAATCGAATAACAGAGGAATGAAGAGCCAGGAAACCTCGGAGAATTTAATACATAGTAATTAATGAATAATGAATTCAATTCTACTTGGAAAAGAAAATGATAAAAGAACAGATAGGATCGATTGCTTTGCACGTTTGCAAGAGCACCGAAATCGAGACTCCAGACTTTGGATCATCAGGAGCCAACCAACCTGGTGAGAAGTCCTGTCCCCAACCATGGGTGAAGAATTCTGTATACATCCGCTTTGTCTATGTGCTCGTTTGATGTGATTAGCGACTCCACCGCTACCGCATCGAATATAAAGACGAATGGTTTCAGTGCGACGTATATCCTGCATAAACCTTGCTCGCGTGCTACCTGACTGAATCCTTGTATGATGGTGTGGAATACTAAAGCAATCGATAGAGAGCGTGTTGTCAGACAAGAGTGAATGAATACAGGAGTTTCCACTACACAGACCGAATCTCTTAAACCGATCGAGCCGTCATGAATTCCAGAACACGGTAAGAGGCTTTAGCTAAAATTAGATGCCAAGACAGACCTTTTTGCAGATCGAGATCGCCTTTGCCGAACAGGAATCTCAAGTCATCGAAGAAAGGAAAAGCAAGCCGGAACAGGTTGTAAGGGCCTGGGAGCGTCATCATCGGGTATTTGAATTCATTGTACAGTCGTTGCGCCAGAAGAGTGAGGTAGACCTTCGCAAAGCAAAAAAAACATGGGTCTGAGGGCGGTTGATTACGTTACGGATTCCGCGCCCTGCGGACAGAGAGCTCCGATAGAACTGCCGAGGTCATGAGCATGAATAAGAATCAATCAGTCAACAAACGACTCATGGACTTATCACGCAAGAAATATCGGAACTTTGGACGAAACAGAGCCAATGAAGCTGTATGTGAATGGATAAATCGAATTCCATGTTTCCATTTGACGCACCAGGTAGAGACAAAAAAGAACGCCGAGGAGAAGAACGAGTGCCATGTTGGTTTCGGCGAGCGCGTCTGCTCTGCCCGAGAACTCTTTGACAGTCCCGGTATCTCTATAACTCTCTCTTTCTCATTGCTCTTGAACTGACAGCAATCTCGAGATTAAGGTGGCGTCGGTGTTGCCGCCGTGACATGGGTCAGCGTCCGATTGAGGAATTCAAATGCGCTCGATGCGCTCCTCGGATCCCTATTCTTTCGGAGCCATGTTCTTTCGGATCCATCGGTGGCTACATCGGATTATTTTAGGCCGTACTCGACGAATCCACCCTCACTCGATACTCTTTCACTGATAAGGAGTTGTCAACTCCGGTACGCTTCCAAGTCGGAGTACTTCTTCTGGCCTCCTCGACACCTATAGACCAGAGCGGCCCCATTCCGGAGTCATCGAGAGATCGAGACTCAGCGCGACATTCGCGACGTCCGTCCCCTGGCCTGTGGCCATCGAGTCAACCGACCCGCCCGGGCGTGAAGATTCGAATGTCGTCCTACCGGATGACTTCGAGCTCAGCTCGGAAACACTGAGTCGCGTTCTTCTGATTTTGACGTCGGTCGGATCCGGCGTGGCAGAAGTTCAATCTACCAGCTCTCGAGCTGCTACGACTCAGGCATCCGCCCCATCTCCGAGTTTACATCGTGACTCGAAGGTTATTACACCGTCGGAAAATCTCGTCGGGCTCACCTTGTGCTTCATGCGAGATTGGAGCTCGACGAAAACTTGCCAGAAATCCTCGTAGAGAGTATCGACTCCGAAATCTCTCATCTATTCCCGAAAATCTCATAGTCATCATTGGCTGATGGCACAGAGCTAGGATCGATCAATCCGATTGAAAGGTTATGGGCACGCTTGACTACTCTTCTGTCTCGTAAGTAATGCGTGACCATCTGTGCTCATGCAGGGACCGTATTCGCTGCACGTGTGCGCCGCAAGGAAACTTTGCGATAAGTATCCGATGCAAAATGCGCTGAGCTGATCAGACGAGATCAGAGTTGATCAGACCCCAAGATTCATTCCTATCTCCCGATCTCGCATGCCGGGTTCAGTGTTCAAGTACAAACTACCGATTGAGCCCTCAGCCGTCGTTTGATTCAATATGGTGTCGATCCCGCTTCCTCCACCCCTTTCGAAAATCCCCGATAGAGAAGTTTGCTTCCATGGGGAGGTTCCGAGCCCCAACATCCTGGTCACTCGAGTCCCGACATCCTGGTAGGTTGGATTTCGACATTCTGGTGGCTTGAGTCCCGATGTCAGTCTATTTTCCCGCACTGCTAGGCGGACAAAGTTTCTTGAAAAATCCTTGAATAGATGACTGTCAGAGGTGATTTGGTGAGCGTTCGACCGATTGGCTTCATTCAATCCTGGCAGCCGCCGACCCTCGTTCCTTCTTGGTGTACTTCCAACTTCCGAGGCCGAACGCCCTAAGACTCGACAGCTATGAGCGCTGAGGGCTGAAGGCGACAAACATATGAAACTAGATATTCGCTTCTTCCCGCTGTAATGAACCGTTACCCCCACCCAAGACCCACTGGACATTCGTGATTTTCCGACGGATTGCGATGCCACGCTCGCTTCCGGTCGACTTCAAGTGCGACCGAAACATCGAGGGAAGATCACGTTCTCCCGCGGCCGACATTTTGTAGACACAGAAGCGAGCTGAAAGCCACAGAAGAGCTCATAATAGCCGTAACGGAGATAGGACACGCCGAGAAAGCTCGGAAAAATGCTTTTCTTAGCTCATATGATGTTTTCGGCCACTGTGGGTCAGTCGCTTTCGCCCAACCCCCTTCCCCCGCAGCAGAGAGAAGAAGCTAAATCACTGCCTCCCACGACGGCTCGAATTCGTCTCGCGGAGGCGGAGCTCTTGAAAGCAATTCAACCAGCCGTGGGTTTCTCCTTATATCGTACCGAATATGTCATTGCCGGGCAATATCCAACGTCCTGATCATTCGAGTTCCACCCGGTCAGTCAATCGACTTTTTTCGACCCATTCTCCCAGTTGCATTCCGATTTTCCTCGAGAGTTTTCGCTGATATCATCGGACCGTTCACCTGCTGCCCGCGAACAAGGGATCTGCCAAGCGTGAAGTTCCGCTAAAAAGAGTGTTGCTTTCAAGTGGGCAACTAGTTGCTTGACGACAGTTTCTGAACGAGCTTCTGAGCAGGAAGCATCGCTCTCCCGTCTGTTCGTATTGCCGGAGCGCGAAAGTAACGATCGAGACTCGAGAAGAACAGCTGGTGAAAGCGGAGGTCCTCCAGAGACGTCAGACGCCTGTGTCCCACAAGTAGGTTCCCTGAAAATCCCAGAGGATACTCTCGGAGCGCAACTCAGAATGTCTGCTGATGATCAATCAAAGTTGACTATCAATACTTGTTTCCCAGCCCGTAGCAATCCGATAGATATCCTAGGTGCCCGAAGAATTATCGCGAACGGCAGTCGAACGATTCCGTGGGTTTCTAGCTCGGAGATCGATGCCGTCCTACGATGACGACAGACAGTCTGGAAGATGTTATGGATGGCTGTGTGCAGTTTTCGGAATCCTTGCCGGCGTAGGAGCTCTCTATGGAGCCTATTACTACTACGTGAGTGAATATGTGTATTCGCTCGAGGAAGTTCGTGCTGATTTGTCACCTGTGTCTCTTCGCCAAGAAATAATGTGCCTTGTCGAGTCTTCCCTGCGATGGCTGGCGATTCTTCAGGGACCTTCTCGTTCATTCTTCCCCCTTACCCGATTCCCTCTACCTTTCAGAAAACCCATCCTAAGACCATGCACGCAATCTGATCTCTGCCCTTTTCCTCGATAAATTCCCCCTCACTTGGAACCCTCCGGTGAGACGCAAGTAGCTATTATTCAACTTTCGAGAGTCTGGCGAAATTTTTATTGTCCAATACCACTTGTACCCTTGTCGCCAGCTCTTCATTCGAGGGAGGATAGCGATACATCTTAGCTATCAGCCTTCGTCTAAAAGTATTGTTCCCGCTTCTGACTGCGCAGATGATGATGCAGATGGCTGCTCATCAAGCCGCACAACAGCAGCAAGCAGCAGCGGCTGCAGCAGCGAATCCTCTGATGGCACTTCTGCAGCCTCCTCAGCAAGGGAAATGAAGCCGGTTCTCAGCGACATGACAGCTCTTCCTGTCAGGGGGAGCTGTAATCGGAGAAGGATATGGGAACTGTTGATTTCACCCTTCGCAACGGCCTCTTGCCAGCGTTTTTCCTCCTGTCCATCTTAAATAGAAATAAAGAACAATGGACATCCCTTCTATGATTGGAGTCATTTTTCCCCCCTTTGTGTGCGATGCTGTCAGTCTCAGCCGACTGCCCAATGAGTGGCGACGGGGACGGAATTTTGGTCAGCTGGTCCGACCCAAGCACGAAGCTGACGAGAAGCTTATGTGTGGTACATTTGACGAGCTCATGAAGACCTTCACCTTCTAGAGTGAAGGTCTAAAAGGCCACTTTGAGTGCCGCAGAAATCAATGGAAAACGCAGTCGTCCGAAGATCGAGCACGGGGACAGATCAGGAGAGCCCTGGCAAATGCAAACTTGCTGACCTGTGGGGACGCATTTCATCGACCAAGGCATTCAACGATGTACAGACGTGTTTGGTAGCCGGTTTGCAATTTTTGATCGCGACTAGAATTTTGTGTCATCGGTCATCACTGTTATCCGCTGGCTTGCGCTCATCAGACTAGAAGCCTTAATGATTCCAAAACGATGGGTGATCCAGCTGAGCATGTGCAAATAGCGTCATGAAGAAGTGGATACAATATTAGGAACTCTTTGAAATGGTCGAAAATCCGATCCCGAACGGAAATGACCGCTCATCGCCCCAATAACAATCGAGCGACAGCTCTGAGCCGGATATGACAGAACCCCGCGAACCGCTGAACAGGTTGCTGAGGGAAAACACTTCGCTCGAACGGAACTTCGACAGTGACGAAGCCTCGCAGAAGGGAAGAAGCGTTGCTGCAGACGGACATATTGCTAACCCATTTCAAACCCGATCATGGTGTCTGCCGAAGCTTCAGGTTGAGGCCGTTGATGCGAGATCCTTCGCCGGCTCTTAAAGCGATCGGGGAAAGCCATCGAGCGAAGCGCGGAATCACTCTCAGAGACCGAACGCAAGTGCGGGCAGATCGGAAGCGACGCTTTGGAGTTGCTTTTTGCTGCCCGGGATCCCCTCAAGAAATCGTTTATTCTAGAATTCACCCTGAACACCGACCGAAAGCCGCTCATCGCGATGCCCGAACGGGCCCAGAATAGCTCCAGCCCATGACGGTCCAAGTCTCTCTCAAGCTCCTCTTTTTCAGAGGCTAATACGACACGCGAGCACCTTCGCCGTGGAGATCGAAGTTCTCATGAAATAATTTCAGTGCTTCATCCATGACCAAGGTCTTCTCTGGGGGCAATTCGAATCAGATCAGGCAATCCCGGGTTCTGAGGAGCTGAGCTCCCGTTGAGCATAGGTGTGGATGCAGTATAACCTCGATTATATCAACTAATGCCAAAAACGGTTGATATAATCGAGGTCACTCGTATTAGGAGCTGATATAATCGAGGGTTGATATAATCGAGGTAATTCCGAGTCGAGTTGATACGATCGAGGTTGATTCAATAGAGTTTCTACTGTATGTGTCGCAATGCAATCGACGACGGGCGGCGCAGGCCTCTCGTGTTTCCCTCATCGTCCAGGCGGATCCGTGTGCTGGTCGGGGAAGAACCCCTCCCGGAGGCCAGGCCTCCGATAACCTTGATTCGCGTATAGCGTAGATTGTTCCCGGTTCAAAACTTTAGGGCTTCACGGCTCGTAGTTCCGTAATTGGTCCATTCGTAGGCTCGGCCTACTTTCAAAGCGAAGGGCTTTGGCCTTACAACCAGTGAAAATCCATCCCAGCTTCATTGGGAGAACTTCAGGCCCGAAGCCAAAAGCAACCTCATGAGGTCTTCACTCTATGTAGAAAGGTAGCGACTAGTTTTCGGCTATAGAAGACCCGTGTGTCGTGAGTTTCCGAGCTTTGGATGGAGAGAGAGTTTTCGAGGGAACTCTCCTTGGCGTTGTGTCTTTCTGGGGTCTCAGGTGAGTCTTGAAGGATTACCGGACGCAGAAACGTTGATATTTTCGAGATCAACGAAGTCGAGGCGGGCTGCATTGAGATGATTGGGACCTAGTAAGTTCCGAATTTCCCCAGCTGTCCGCAGGCGAGTCTGCGAAAATTTGTCAGTGCGGAAAACCTCGATCCTTTCGATCATGAATCATGAGCACTATAGGTACCGGATCCGCGAGGGAACGGACTCCTGTCGTTCCCGAAATTACTGAAAGCTCGCAGGAGTCTTCCTAAGGAGAACTCGAATTGAATTACGCAGAGCGCGGAACCAGTGTCAGAGGGAAAGTTAAGAAATCAGGCTCCCTTTCAGGAGATGGGGACTAAGTTAATTGACCCCTCAGAGCGTCGGACTTCGGAATACCCAATGAGGTAGGCGCCGATCAAGAGGGTAGCGCAGCACCATCCTCAGCTCACCAGAACGGCTCCACCAGTCTCTGCGGCGATCGTCCCGTGCGGAATTTCAGGGGGGCTAGAATCGCTTCCAGATGACCCGAAGCTCCGGGCTAGCGAAGGCGGCATTTCCATGGTTGGTGGAGACGATGGAAGTAGCGAGAGAACATATCGTGAGGGTGAGTTCTGAAACTTGGTTGGTGATGGTAATTCTGGGTAATTTTCTATCCAAGGATTCTTTCCCACTCTAAGAAATCTTTCCTTGG